CAACACGAACCATAAAGAATTCATCTCACTTTAGCAATGTTTTGTCTGATAACATTGTGTCTGGGTATACTTAGATATGAGGTGAATAAGCCAAACCAGGAGTGTGAATTGGGTGGTAAATGCATGCTCCCACCACACACTTTCCATTAGCCTGCTTTTTTTATTCTGCCAGAGCAATGTCCAGTGCTTCATGCACACAACAATGATGTCTCATTATATACATAAAATATGTAACATCATGGAACAAAAGCTACAATTTAGCTGCAGTGATTCCAAAGCAAAAATGAGATATTATCTTGTTTCTCATGAGTAAGGCTACAGGAAGTAGACTAGTGATGAGCTATTATAATATTTTATTATTCTGTCTAACAAGCAGTGACAGGATAGGGCTCCTGTTACTTTGCTACTTTTACGAGCTGACTTTATTAAGCTACAGAAAATCAACTACTGCACACTTTAAAACCTGCTTTAAACCAGAAGTATGGCAACACCATGTGCTTCTTTACACATGCTGAACGCTCACACAATTGGCAACTGATATTTAAATCCTAACGATGCACATCTTCATAAAAGGGAAAAATCTCCTCAATGTAAGAAGCTGACAAAATTCCTGCATCACTAATGCTAAACCTAGTAGTGAATCTAAATCTTCTTCTGCAGTCAGCATGTACACTGTATGTGGCACTTAGTTCTCCATCGCCTTAAATCACTATCAGAAGGTGAAAACTGGGAAACCAGAAATAAATTTAGAAGTACTGTAAATAAAACAAGTTATTGTGCTCTGAAATAATTTCATCTTTGTATAGTGAGGAAGCCCAGTTAAATTTGTCCTTGAAAGAATTCAAAACTTGTGTTAGATCTTTAGCCTATTTTTTTAACATACCCAAGAGCAACTCACACTTTCCCAAAGGCAACAAAAACACCACATAGTATGTCTTGTGACTGCATAACTCAATACAAGCCAATCTCTCAACAAGGACTTAATCCAGTGGCCGCTCAGAATCAGAGAGTGCTATTGGAACAGCACTAAAGTCCTAACACAAGATTTAGTAAAAATGGCAAACGGCATATAGAAAAAACAACAACAAAAGAAAATCCTGCTTATTTCATTGCCTTTAGTGGCACTACAATATGCTCAATGAAAACACTAGCTTTGATGGAGGGCTCTGATTTAGAGTGGGAACATTCAGTGAAAGTCGAAGAGCTACCAAGGGAATTCTGATCTCATTCTAATGTTGATTTTGTCAGCATCACCTAACTCCACTGGAGAAGTAGATCATTTTAGTAAGCTCAGGGTGGTCTAGAATGTGACGATTCAAAACTTCAGTACCCTACCATATTCCTTGGCCATTTTTTAGAGGTTTTATTTTTATGTTATAATGAATTGAATTTCATCTAGTCAGAAGCTGACCTGGTTATGTTGTCACGAAAAATGCTATATTCAGATAATCACCGATTAGAAAAGATACAACATACCAAAGACACTGTCATTATACTGCACTAAGGGCTCTATAAAGTTAACTTTTCAATTGGAGTGGTCTTCATTGTAGGATATAAGCCTTTACACAACCAAATGTAATTAAGGCTTAAGAGTGAATTACACCAGATCTTCTATTAAGTAGGGACGAAAAGACGTAAAGCACATCAGCAACAAAATATGTATACTCTCATGTAAAAGCAATAATGATGTAAATTTCTCGTGGTGGCTGTTAATGCACTGAATAACTATGTCCAATATCTAAGGGGTTTCAGAGAAAAGGCATTTCAGAACAACAGTAATAGATTTCCTTAGGGTCATTTAACAAATAGAGGTTTTATGTAGAAAATCAAATATATACGATTATAAGCAGAGATTTTGTATGAAAATTACATTCTTATAAAAACATGGAGAAAGACTGTACATTATGAATAGGGGCACAGAGAAGACACCTTCATCAATATTTTTCTAAAAACAATTTTAAACAAAAAAGCATTTATCATCCATGTGTTTACAGCGTCCTTTGCCATGTAACTGTCATAGATGTTAAGTAACCCATTGCATCAAAGTGTAATGGTAGATCTACTGTATCTTTTCCTTTAGCATACGAGAAATAAAAATCAGTCCTTCAGATAACTATTATCAAAGTAAAAGCTCTCCCCTACAGCTTTACAGCAAGAAACAACATTTGGATTGCAGCTGGCACAATCTACACTTTGATACTGCTAAGCAGAAACTGCTGGCACACAGAGGCGGATCTTGGCCACAGATAATTAGTGTCGGAGACCAATTATTAGAACCAGACTTGGCTTGGAAACAAAGCAGAACTTCACACACTCAGGAAAAATAAAACCAAAACGAACAAACAAAAAACACAGATAAAGCAGTCATGCAAGAGGGTTTCAGGTCGCTCACAATTACGATGAATTGATGGCTCCCGTGCTCTTGTTTAAAGTGACTCTTGACTGATGTGCACTGCAATTAGGTATGATAAAGTTTGTCCAACTGAAGGATATAAACATATTCACAACAGGAAAACACGAACAAAAACATTCTTGCATATTTTGCTTGGGTTTGGTAAATAATCTCCCATAGAAACCAGGCCATTTTTGTAAATGTGCAAGGCATTTCACTAGAAATCAAACACGCAGCTGAGTGAATAACAGCTTTTCTTGAGCTCATTGGATTCTTTGCATGCCTTTCACAATTTACATTTTAAATAAAGGGTAATAAACTAGCGGCACTGGACTGTAATGGACTGACAGAATTGAGTGACGAAAGCAAAGCTAAATAAATGCTCCCCCCTTGCTTCCATCCACCCATTAACACACATTACAAATAAAGAGCCAGATGCAACATTTATGCTTGATCTGGTAACGGCAATGGAATGATTAAACTCTTTAATAAAGCAATACAGAACTCCCTTAAAGTCAAACAAACTGTTTTTGATGGATTTGAATCTGTTTATACACACTCCATAAGAAGCGGCTCACCTTTTAGTTCTGTGGGAAAGTTAAATGAAAGGGCAGAAATTGCACTGCAATTAGCACTACTGCCTCACAGCTCTTAGGTTCTGGGTTCCAATACGACCCCAGGCACCTCCTGAATGGAGCTGGCATGTTCTCACTGTCAGCCAGACTTTCCTCACACCTCAGAGACACATACAGGACCAGCTAGGTTAATCGATGAATCTAAATTGTCCATCCTTGGACACGCACACAGGGGCAACGAGCAGGTCTCTGATGATGGATGGACAAAGCTCTTCTGTAGAGCCATCCTTCCACTATTTCTCTATTTTTCTTCCTGATGTGGACATTTTCTTTTTCCTTTTCAGCAGGACCGTTTTTGACCTCAGGTTACAGCCGCATTAAGCCAAACAAAATAGGCAAACGCTGCCAGCTTCTTCCGGAGTCTGCGAGCTCAGCAGGGCTGCAGGTGTAGCCCCGGAAAGGCGGAGAGAGACCCTGAGTGGGAACAGAAGCCAGAGGGAGGACACGTTCCAGGTTTACCCTCCAGGCACATGCGGAATGCCTTCTGACAGACTGGCAAGAGTTCAAAGAAAGGAACAAAAAGATACCGCTCCCATGGTTTATCATGCTTTCCTTTCAAAATGAAACTCTTTTGCCCTTATCATGCGGCTCAGATGCTGCCAGGTTTTTGTACTGTGGGTGACAGCTGAGAGCCATTACAATATTCACTGCACACTGCACATACTTCCTCCCTACCACAGTGACAGCCAAGGCATGATACAGGCCTGTACTGCAAGCATTTCTAAGGCATTGATTGCACAGTGAGGCACTCTATAAAAGCTCTTTTTTGAAATATCCAATAAAGTGTGATTATAAGAAACAGGGGAAAAAAAAGAGATCAATGCCCTTTGTCTAGTGCTTTTTTCCTCCCTTTCATTTGCTGATTTCACCTGATTTAATGATAATCGAGCTGATCCCTCTCATGTAGGTATTTTATCAAACTTGTAATGGACTTCAAAATAGGATCACAGACACAGGAGCAATATTAAGGACCAGCTAGTGCCAAGGGTAATGGAAAGATTCCAGCCCTGGCACGGCATAGATTTTATCTGGAGTGAGGAAGATTTTGGGAAGAGGAGACACAGGTGAACTCTTACTGTTCCTGTGCTGCTGCTTTCACATTAAGAAAAATAAAATAAATGAGGGCGAGAAGCGACTTGATACTAAAAGTAAGTCACTCGTGTGTGCTGCTTTCAAGCCAACTCTGTAACTGAATGTTACTGCTTGGAACAATCTCTATCAAAGTCAGTTTGCTGTACGAGCAGCTCAAAGACATACAACAGGTCCGGTACAGGAAAGTGTTTCACTGAGCCTTGTCAGCCTGCCCACTGCTGACCGCCGGAAACCTGTTCCCATGAAAGAGCCCAGAATAAGACCCTGTGCCAGCAAACACTAATGACTATTGCTTCCAAACCCAACAGGATGTCATATGCGCCTGAAAAATCTTACACAGCAGTATAGATGCCATAACCAGGTACAAAGAAAATGTCTGTGCACATCTCGTGTTTTTGAACTTAAGTAACTTAATAGCCACCTTGAACTGAGAGACTAGTCTGAGGATTATTAAGCAGCGTATGAATTATGGTTCCATGGTTGGTTAACACTTGGCAGCCTTACTATCTCAGGAGGTTCCCAGGCCTTCAGCGGGTCAGTAGTCAACAATCAACAGCTTTGGTTAACATTCTGAGCTGCTGCACAAGCACACCCTACTCTTAGTAATTGAAAAAAGAGGTGAAGCAGTTGAAAATGCAAAAGCTTTAAACCTGGCTATAAGCAAATAAATTCTAGACTTTATCATATCATATACTGTACCAATAACAACACTTCCCAGATTTTCAGTTTCAAGATACACAATTAAAAAGTAGTTAATTTAACTATTTAGACCATTAGAAAAGTGTACTAAATGAGGTATAATCTACCGTAAAGGCTGATGCAAAACCTGAGAAACGGAAAGCATTCCAATAAGCTTCCAAAGAACAAAAGAACCCACTTACCTTACTGCAGGAGATGATGCTGCCAGTGCTTTCTGCCAATTTACAGCTGAAAGAAACAAAGCTAGTGTTAGGAAGAGAAACACCACACCACTGTAGAACAAAATCATGACTTTCATAGGCCAACAGTGCTTTACTGGTAAGAGCTGACAGATAATACTGGATTGTCACACAACAGTTTTGCATATCATACTTTCCATGGAAAGTTGCAGTTTGAAATATCAGACATACTAAAAGATGGTAAAAAGAGCATTGTCAGCTTTTGGTTACAAGCACTCATGCCTTCAGTATGCTTAGACATATTAACCTAATAAATGAAACTTACGTTTTATGCACCACTATTTTGATAATGATCCACATGTATGTAGAAAATGTAGAAAGATCTACAAGAATCACCCTTATTAAACACCACATTGCAGCATTTTAAACCTAGCTCACCCTTAGTACCTTCAGTACTGGGTCTAGACAGCACCAACCCAGTTACAGTACATCTTAGAGGTTACCTGTTTCTAAAGACTGACAACACCTGTTGTCAATGATTTAAGCAAATAACCCATTTAATTAAGAAATCTCTGGTCCTGGAGTGCTCAAGTGAACAAACCACCTGCTTAATTAATCACAATTAAATTGCCCCACGTTGATTAAACCTGCTCAGGGCTTAGGATCAGGGTCATTTCCAAGACCAGAGTTGCAGACAGCTGCACATACAATAATAATAAATAATAATACTATTTAAGTTCTATTTCATGAAAAAGTATTTCAAAACTCATCAACTAAAAAACTAGAGCACCATTCCTAGGAGACTCTGCTCTAGTGATAAAGTATTACAAAGCATATTTATAGCCCATTAGTTTCCGACACTTGCATTATGATTATCAGTTTAATCAGAACAGCTTGAAAACAAAGACATCATAGTGGCAAAACATTTCTTTCTTGGAGGCCTGACATTAATTAGATCTAGGTCATTACAACTCCCCACCTGCAATTAAACAGAGTACAACATGCACCAGCCGTGAGCAACTATATTTTGCATAAAAAGGTTCCAGTAGTGTGGTTTTGAAGTGATTAATTATGATTAGAGACCATTTCCCTTATGATAGAATTAGAAGTTTTAGAACAAATTTGCACCTATTTTTAACAGCTTCTCAGCTGAGGACCTGTCATATGCCTGGCTGTGTGCAAAGTTCATAGTTTTTTTTTTTCTTAAAAACTAGGGTGAAAAATATCTCGACAAGATCCTCAACATAAGAACCTATTATCCTAACCAGAATAAAATAATGCGCTCAGAAACTGTTTATATGCACACGCACAGGTTGAGCAAGCCTTAATCGCATGCAGAAATTCTGTTTTCACAAAACGACCTTGCACAAACCATCAAACACACAACCTGAATATAGATATACACTGGCCAGATACCTTTCCTCTCTTTGCATGTTTATAACCGAGAGAGTGAGGAAAAGAAAATGAATCAAACTGTGAAGTCATCGTGTCTTTTAACTTCGCTACTCAAAAGGAATGGAAGATGAAATATGGAATCATATGAAAGGTGAGCCAAGTGTTTTCCCTCATTTCTGATTTTATTTTTTTATGGGTTTGGGAATCTCGGAATGCTGCATCCCACATGCAGGAAGCTGCTGATAACAGAAACAGCAACACTGATAACAACAGCTGTGCCTAAAAAAACAGACAACGGGGATGTGCAGGGAGCAAAGGTCTTGTGCCTGATCCGAGACACTAGTCCATTCAAAAGAAGTTACATCCCACCCAAAGCTATACAGCAGGCTGAGTAGTTGTATATTCCACTGTCACACTTTTAACCCAATCACTCCTACAGCAGCACAAAATTGTTATTTCACATAAGGTTAATACAGTACACGCAAGGAAACAAATTACAGTCATTGGGCTTACTACTGTCATTGGTACACTAGCTTCTTTCAACACTTCAAAGACAACAGCAGAAAACAAGAAGACAGCAATGGTTCTTCAGCTCAAACTGGGGCTTAAATGTCTTGCAATCATTTGCTTTAGTTTTAACATGTGTACCAATTCAAAAATAGCAATTAAGTCAGCAAAGATCTCATATGAATTATCTCCAGCTTCCACTAGACCTCATACAGGATAGACATGAATTGGAGCGATAAGAAGAAGGACTGAAGGGACCAGTGATCATGAATTCGCTTGTGACTTGAAACTGCTGCGTCATAGAGGTGGCCCTGTCCTTTGGCCTATTTTCCCAGTAAAATTTTAAACAAATACTCCTCCGAGTTAAGTGCAGAACAATCAAAGTGCCGATGAATGGGTCAGGATTCCTTTGTGTTGTGTAAAAAAGGGTGAGAGGAACTTAATTCTGAACAGCACCTTGACTATCTTGAGCCTGAACGACTAAATGACATTTAACAGAAACATAAGTTAAACCAAACATCACAGACTTTTCATCTACAATTACATTTGCAGTGCATAGGGCTCCCATTATAAATATATTTACCTAAAAGTAAGCCTCTAGTTCTTCTATGTGTATTGATCTGCCAAAGTGTATTTTATAAAGTATTAAAACTTTATAAAGAATAAAGTGAAACTTTAGAAATAAAAAAACGTGCATTGCAAGACTCATTCAGAAAGCAGGTATGAGCCTGTTCTCCAGATGTTGCTAGTTCAAGCTTTGTTAACCACATAATCAGCAGACTGTGACTGCAATTCCCCAGGTGATGATGCACAACTGGTTGATCCTCAGGCTTGGGCTGGCTGGCTTGCTTGCTGAGCCTCAGACACCAACCACTTGTGTGACCTGCCCAGCGTCCCAGCGGCCCAGAGCCACAGAGTCACATTGCTTCTCCAAAAAAAATGAACACATCTGTGGGCACTGCAGAGCTCAGTGTGTAAAATGACAACTTGGAAGACAGTATGTATTTATACTCAGATGGGTCACTGCGTCAACATGAGTAAGCTGCAAAGGAACAAGTAATAGGTTTATTCCATGCTGAAAAAAAGAAGAAAGAAAACACAACATTTCGGCCGTGGAGCCTTCCACGGCCAAAAAGTTGCCTTTTCTTTCTTTTTTTCAGCATGTATTTATACTCTTCCCCCTGTAGTCACATGGAGGCTGTAACATTAAGCCAACCCGATCAACACCTGGCATTCCAAATCAGACCTTAAAAAACATGCAGAAAAACTCCATTCTAACATCAAAATAAAAGTTAGTGTACAATCTTGCTTTCACTGCTGAAAAAAAAAGAAACTGTCAAAGGTCAAAATTATTATTCTTTGCTAGGCTGGATATCCCAAGGCAGCTGGTTGTATATATTGTATACTGTACCAGGCATGTTTTCACCAAAGTATGAACAAGGACTATTTTTGATTTAATAAAAATGTGTACTTTTAAATTCAATACCAACATAGGCCTCGTGAAGGCCTGATGCTCTAATATGAGTTTATTACAAAAGATAGCATTCCTCATAACACTCAAACTTCGGGTGAATAAGAATAAAAACCAGAAGCTCTGAAGAAAAAATGAAAACCTGTATACAAATGTATAACAATTTCTTATTTAAACAGGTTTACATCTGCAAACAGAAAAGAAGTTTGAGCATGAAAGGAACATCATACAAAGAGCAGCTTGGATAAACCTTTTCCATGTTATACAGGAAATGCAATTCCAGTATTAAAAACCAAACTACCTTATGCTAGACAATAAGATGACAACTGGGTGGTGATGAGTGGAATTTAATAGATGCTTTTAAGATTGAAGACCAAAGGGAGTTCTTTGCATAATGAGCAACATTACCAAAACACCTCAGCCAGCCTTTTAAAGATGATTTTTTGAGAACTTTACCGGGAGGTATTCTTGAATCGATGACCTTCGGACAACACCAGCTTCTCTCACGTGTAAATTTCCCCTTGTCACCATGAAGAGCTTGGACACAGAATAGTCTCATACCTCAGACACCCCTCAATCGATGCTATCGTAGTACTGAGCGGCATACCAGAATCACAGACATCAGTAGACTGGCAGACCACACCACAAATGCATAATGTTGGGAGAAACATACATTAAAGGTCTTGTGCAATAGACTATTCATTCTCCAGGGAACATTGAGCAAACTGGCCTAAAGAAGCACAGATCCTGCTGCCAGAGGACATGTGATCACAGATTTCCAAAAGTTAATGTCTGCTGCTGAGGTTATTTCTGGGGCAATAGATCCTGAAACAAGAATTCTGTGCCTGGCTTCATCTGAACAAAACAGAGCCCGGGAGAGAGATCTGCTGTTATCATGAATAATATCCTTTCGAGTCTGTATAGCAGAATCACCGGGGGTTAAAGTAGGCCACTGCATGGGGGAATGAGCATTTCACATGGCATTATGGCAGTTTGGAAAGTCACATTAATCTATTAATGCAACCTCCTGTTTCAGAACTCAGTAAGGTAAATCCCACTCAGAAAAAATCTATAAGTTTTAAAATCATTGTTTAGAGTATTGTGTAGAAGATGCCAGTGACCAATATTATTCTATATTAATGAGTATCTCTTGTAGGGGTGCTGTGACTGCAACAGCTTAAATCACTTCATTTTTCAAATGGCCATCTTCCACAGGGAAATGATCTTACGTGGTTGATTAATATGAGCGCTGCATTCCTGAATTTACTATAACCCTATTACAAGACATTTAAAACATTGCTATTGAGTGTGTATATTTATATTCATAAACTATTAGCAGAGCAAAGCAATTATGCAGATTAGAAAAAGAAGTCTAATTGTTTTTAATTAAATTAGGCATGTTTTAATACTATAATAGGTGGTGGTTAGAAATTACACAGCGCAGTATTTTTGATAAGTGCAAATAATTGTACTTGTATTACAAAATCTGTTTGCTTGCCAATTATTTGAATGCAATATTAATTAGCCTACCTATTGTGGCACTTCATTGTTTTTTCTGTGAACGAGAAGGGGATCATTTTTCAAACCTACACTAAGACAAACCATGTTACAGCTTTTCCAAGAACAAATTGAGCACATTTGGAAATTGGAACATTTTGTAATCATTTATATGCAGG